GCTCAAATAATATTTTTGGTGCTTAATACGTCTTGAATTTTTTTGGAAATCATGCATAACAATAATAATAATAATAATAATAATAAAAAAATATAATAATAAATTACATTTTTAAAATATATTTAAATGGCAAATAAGTTATTTTAAATTACAATAACATATTACATATGTATATTTTTTGCACTTAACTGTGAACAGTTAAGCTGGGGGTGGGGGTGGGGGAAGACAAAAATTACATACAAGGTTCTCGTCCATTTATTTATTTATTATGGTATATGGTGGCTTGAACTCCTAGATTTACAATTAAATAATGAATAATGCCAAAAGGGAAGTTGATATTTTTCATATCATCCAGTGAGACCAATACAAAGCCACGAGTTTTAACCAGTGCCTTATTTGATGCAATGACAGGTGCAGTGAACCTCTCTACAGTATATTGATTTGGAGGACCTAGAGGTATGTGACATCATTATGAGGATTGACCTGATCCTGCTCTGCCCTGAAGTCTTAGAGTAAATGAACATTACTGAGATCGAGACTCTGGCTTTTCTACTAGGCTGGTATAGTTACTGGTGTCATGGAAACATTTTGGCATGTGATCTGCTCAGAGACATGTCTGTTTCAGACATTCAGATCTGTAGAAAAATACACAGAGGAAGGTCTAATGTTGCTTATTTTGAGCTAATTGCTAAGGCCGTGTCCTTTGTGCATCCACTGGTTCCTAGTGAGTGAAGACCGCATATTGAGAGAGGTTGCTGTGAATTAAACTTCTGCTACTGAGAACAGGGAAGAAAGAGACTCACTCACACACAAAAACACATTCTCTGTCTTCTCCTCACATACACACACACACACACACACACACATTCTTGACCCCCCCCTAAATATCCTGCACACTCCCACATGCATGGCACATTCGCAATCTTTCTTTTTACTCTTTATTTCTCCTGTACTTTATCTTGAGCTTTCTCTTTCCTTCTCACATTCCGGTGATGCATCCTTTGTCCTTGTATTCTTAGAGCAAGCTGCAGTGACTGTGTCGGTGGCACAAAGGAGCGGTGGGTATTAAAACAGCTGTCTCTGGTGGTCCGGATGTAATTGGGATTGTTAACGTGCTCGGCTCCTGAGGGATGCTCGTGAGAATGTCTTTGTGTAAAGCACACAAGCTCCACAGCGGCATACCTTGATTTTGATGTACGTCAAAAAAAGCAAACAAGTCACCTGAGCTACTGTACATCAAGTCTGGCTGTTATTTTTTTCACCCCCTGCTTTTTTATCCTCCTGTTTTGGGTTGTTGCTACTGGTGCACTGTTATTTATATGTAAAGGAAAACGTCTATGAAGCTCAATTTTAGTCAGAATTCCTATGAGAGCATCCTTTCTTAGTGGGGAAAATAAAAGTGTATTTATGAGCATGCGGACATAGCTTTTGAAGGAGAAGAAAAATCTTTGCAAACTTAGCTCCTAAAAGCACCTGTCTGGTAATACAAATTGAAACACAATATCATCAAATAAGAGGCAGATACAGAAAGAGAAAGAGACAGAGACAGAACGAGAAGAAAAACAGACAGATGAAGGGGGTTAAATAAATCCCTTTAAAACACGGATATGTAATTTAAATGTTAAAAGGCCAAATTTCCATGATTACTTACTGAAATGCAATGAAATTCCAAATCGATTTATTATTTGTAAATTGTGCAAAGAGGGCGCACTGCACGTGCATGTGCAAACGACACTTTGGCCACCTGATTATGTATTTTAGTTGAGATCAGATTCATTTTAACCTGATATATTAAAGCTGAGCAATTAAATCGCCCTGATAAGTAAATTTCTCAACGCTACAGTGAGACAAAACTACTCCTCAAACTCAATCGTCTCAGAGCGGAACCTAATTGATGTATTTGAGGTTATATACGCCTATATTTTTTGTGGTTCGTTGTGAATGAAATTTTCATTTGCCGATTTAGGGGTGGTGAAATTTAAATGATTTCGTTAAAGTTTCATCATAAATCAGTCTTTGGGTATATACAAGGAGACAGTGATTGGGCCTTGAAGTCTCCTGAGCAGGTGCGCCAGGGGTGGCCCTTCCTTTGGAGAGCTACTGTACCTCTCAACTTCCTGCACAATCGTCAAAAAAACTGTGATTGCCATGGGACAAATTTTACGACGACATACATAAGAATCCGTAAGACTAGGTATTAATAAACATCCGAAACGGAGACTTTTTCTTCATATTTATGTATTTAGTTGTTTTATGTATTTATTTATTTATTTATTTATTTATTTATTATATTTTAATTAAAGTCCGAGAAAATTTTAAATTAATTGTTATTTAGCCAAAGTATCGGCATGCGTTTTTTCCCCAACAACAGAGACATGATGCAGCACTTACGCTAATTTAATTTCTTAATTAGTATAAATTTGATGACAAACAATCCTTTAAGATATAAACATACATACTGGCATATTCAGAGTATGTCTCCACAGAATAATGCATTTACGTAATGAGATATTTTAATGTTTTGCATGTGGCATATCTTTGACAGATATTAACTCGTTGTTAAACTATAAATTGTAATTACTGTTTGGAAGATTTGAGCATACTTAATGCGGAAATAATACATTTAATGCATTAGAATATTTTTAGCTCAAGTTAAAATTTGGATCTCACGTTAGCTGTGCACTTGAACATGCGAGGTTACTCGGTAGCTATGATGCATCAATTACCCCATTCAATGGACTCGAATAGATTAAACAAATTAGACTGGCCTCGTTAATTAGAACATGTTTATATAATATAAAATTATATTTTTTTCTAAATAAAATCAAAGCAGGTTAATTACTGAATGACTCTCGAACAAATATAAATCTAATTTAAATTCAATGTTTCAACATTTCACCGGACGTGATTTGTTTAATGCGTGTCGGTATATCAAATTACCTCGCTATAATGGAATGATAGTCGTGCGTTTTACTTTGATTTATTTCACCCAAAAGGGACAGCAGATGATGAAGCTGTCTATGGTGATTTCTTCATATTCATCCACGTTTCTCCGACCAAGCTTCCATTCACGAATTAAATAGCACAGACTCTTTCTAATATATATATTTTTATCATAATGAAAGTTTGGTATTATACATAAACGTTACAGAATAATTACACATGCAAGTCTGTTCAATATACAACGTATGTTTAAATAAACCTTATTGATATTATTATAACACTGAAATGTTTAACTTAAGAATACAGTTCTGCTTTCATTGTATTTCTTTAACCATGGTGCTTCCTCATAACTTTATTGAAGTAACATACAATACCAGCTCCAGTCATTGCAACTGCCCATGCGCAGAGTCCCCAGCGGCGCTGTGGCTAATGAAGAATAATAAATCATGAAAGGTTTTTCAGGTACAGCCGAGAGAGTGTAAGAGGAGAGGGGGTGAGAGAATGGATGCATTAGAATATTTTTAGCTCAAGTTAAAATTTGGATCTCACGTTAGCTGTGCACTTGAACATGCGAGGTTACTCGGTAGCTATGATGCATCAATTACCCCATTCAATGGACTCGAATAGATTAAACAAATTAGACTGGCCTCGTTAATTAGAACATGTTTAAAGGTTTTTAATTAAATCACTGATGAAGTAGTCTAATTAGAACGAAGATATGATAATAGCCCGCTGCGACGAGTATATGATTGTATTGGGTTTGCAATTAAATCCTAAAGAGTTGTACAAAATCCGCTTTTCTGTGTCATTAATGAAATACTTCACACAGTGTAGCCTGTTCTGTTGGGACATCAAATTCATAACACACGCTCAATGATAACTCATGCGCAGAGTCCCCAGCGGCGCTGTGGCTAATGAAGAATAATAAATCATGAAAGGTTTTTCAGGTACAGCCGAGAGAGTGTAAGAGGAGAGGGGGTGAGAGAATGGGTGAGCAAGAGAGAGAGAGAGAGAGACGCAGCCTGCCCTTCGCCTTGGAGCACAGGCAGATCGAGTCCCCGCAGCATTGAATGTAGTCGACTGCCACCTTTATCTCATAATCAAATTCAGCAAGAATCGGGATAAAGGTTAACGAGCGATATTTGGTTCTAGCAACGTCGTTCTGGAGATTTGCACGAAGAGAAGAGAGAAGAAACTTTTTGCACTCGTTTTAAAAGCGTGAGCAAAGACAAACTCACCAAAGGCATCAGCCTCCGCTGTGACAAATGTAAGATATTTTGTAAAGGCGGAGGAACATTTCTGTGGAGCGTTTTGGTAAGAGTTGACGTGATCTTTGAAGGAGTTTAACGACAGGTTGCATGGCTTACTGGTGCTCGCGGCACATCTCTAGCCACGGCACGCGACGAAGCGACCAGGAGATCGTTCTCTCAGACCAGTAGGCAGCAGCACTAGATGAGCTATCTAGAGACGTGGTGCATCATCCTCTTCACGTTCGTTGCAACGCCAGAGACTTGAGACTTCCACGCAGCGACTGGGCTTGAACTCCAGTCGAAGAAGAAGAAGGCGGAGTCTTAACTTATTAAAAGGAACTCGCCGAGGCTCGGTCGCAAATATGATGATGATGTCTCTGAACAGCAAGCAGGCGTTCGCCATGCCCCACACCAGTCTGGCCGAGGCCAAATACTCCAGTTTGCATTCTTCGTCCTCTTCCACTCTGACTTCCAACGCGCCCTCGTCCTGCTGCTCGACGTCCAGACACAGCCACACGATCATCAGCAGCGGAGGCTGCTCGGAGGCGATGCGCCGAGCATGTCTCCCAACCCCACCGGTACGTATTCTGCATAATCACCGCTTAAAGGCACATTTTGACAGCCCACTTTTTCTGCTTGATGTTTTTTTCATGTCTGCACAGCAAATCATCCAACACCTCCATTTTTCCCTCCCAACTTATGTATTCAGCCGGGTTTGCCTTTCGTATTAATTTTTATGACCTGGGATGTTGCATGTGTCTTGTTTTGTGCGTTATTTTTTAGGATTTCTTTTTTTTTTTCATGCTGGAAATGTTTTAAAAGCACGGAGTGGAGCGCGAATTCCCTGCTGACAGTTATGTGTGCATTCTATTTGCAATTGCAGAGCAATATATTCGGCGGATTGGATGAGAGTTTGTTGGCCCGCGCGGAAGCTCTGGCGGCGGTGGATATAGTCTCGCAGACCAAAAGCCATCATCACCCTCCTCATCACAGCCCCTTCAAGCCGGACACAACCTACCACACCATGAACACGCATCCGTGCACCTCGTCATCTTCCTCTTCGTCGTCCGTGCCCATCTCGCACCCGTCAGCTCTCGCGGGCCATCACCACCACCACCACCATCACCACCACCAGCCGCACCAGGCACTGGAGGGCGACCTGCTCGATCACATCACCCCAGGACTTGCACTTGCTGGAGCCATGGCCGGGCCAGACGGCTCGGTGGTCTCCACGCCTGCGCACCCTGTCCACATGGCAGGCATGAACCACATGCACCAAGCTGCCATCAACATGGCTCACGCCCATGGGCTGCCATCCCACATGGGCTGCATGAGCGACGTGGATGCAGATCCCAGGGACTTGGAGGCATTCGCTGAGCGCTTTAAACAGCGTCGGATCAAACTCGGCGTGACACAAGCGGATGTAGGGTCAGCGCTGGCCAACCTGAAGATTCCTGGCGTAGGCTCTTTAAGTCAGAGTACCATCTGCCGGTTTGAATCACTCACGTTGTCCCACAACAACATGATCGCCCTGAAGCCCATCCTGCAAGCCTGGCTGGAGGAGGCTGAACAGTCGCACCGGGAAAAACTCAACAAACCCGATCTCTTCAACGGGGCCGAGAAGAAGAGGAAGCGGACCTCCATCGCGGCCCCCGAGAAAAGGTCCCTCGAAGCTTATTTTGCTATTCAGCCGCGTCCATCCTCAGAGAAAATTGCAGCAATCGCAGAGAAGCTGGACCTCAAAAAGAACGTAGTGCGGGTTTGGTTTTGCAACCAGAGGCAGAAACAGAAACGCATGAAATATTCGGCCTGCATCTAGCTCGACCAGAAAACCAACATGACGTGTCGAGAGACTCCTAAAACTGTTTAGAGACGATTTGTAAAATATTTCTTATCTCACACCTTTTTCAATCATCAATAACTTGTGCATTGAACCAGAATTTCATGACATTCAAAAGAGACATTTGAATTTACGCAAAGGGGATGTGGAATCATTTAAAGGATCGTTTGACTGATCAAGTAAGACCATTCGTTTTTCCTCACTTATTCTAGCACACTTTCTATATCAGAGGAGCAAGACTCTTTAAACCTCAGTCAGACAGCCTGCCTGAAGCTGAATAGCATATTTTAGTCATTTACCAGAAAGAGTTGTGTATCGAGCTACACTTAACACCAGTAATTATTATAAACTGATCAATTATAAACTGAGAGGGGGAAAATACTTCAGGTCAAAGTAGTGACAGTGTCTTGTCAGTTTTTCTCTTTTAAAATATTTCTTTCTCAGCATGTCACGCTTCAATCTGGTGTTAATTCAGGGTTCATTAGATAAACAGAGGACATCACAAATTAAGTCCACGAACGATTCTGCAACATTATTAGATAACACCCAAACAGCTCCTTGTAAATTATTGATTTAGCTGTTACATGCATCATTTTGTCTGTCGTCTTCTTAATTCAACTTCTGTGATTTTAATAATGATAACCATAGCCTACAGTTTGGCAATGGGCGATAATAATATCCATATTTTTCTTGTAAAGGCATCTTTGCTATAACTGATCTCTTAGTTATTCAAATAGAACATATTGGATATACTGAACACGAGGAGAGGTTCAGTTGTTTTAAGTAATGGGATTTGTTCAGCCAAATATCTGTTGCAATACGCCTGCGCTCTAACGTTTCTTATGAACTATTTATCATGTGAGGTAATGTTTACTTCATTACATATTTATTGGGATTCCCTCCACGTTTCTGCTTGAGAAAATCATATTGAGACAACAAGGAAAACGTGGCCCTCTGCAAATGGGGAAACTGCTTGAAACAGGACACTTTTATTTTATGTTTTCTTTCGTTCTTCTAACGTTTCGAAAAGGCACAATCGAGAGATATATGAGAACATTTTCTTTGAAATTATTTTCATGTATGTAATCTGCTTATTTATTTGTATAAATATACGCGTATAATTATGGAGTCGTTGCTTGTTAAATTCACCATGTTGAGTAATGTTTTCTTAATGAAAAAGATGAGTTTCATGGACGCATTCACGTAAAATGTAAATATCTCATTTGGACATATCCGTACAGGTATTTGCTGTATTGCTGTTTTAACTGCGGTAACTGTAATGTCTGTTGCTTTAGGTTTAATTGTCGGATCAATTCATTAATTTATTACATCGATGTATATTTAAGTTACTATTTGATAATTGAATTGAACTATGTGTTTCATTAAAGAACAAAATTTGAACATTTTATTGATCGTTCTCAGTGGGTTCATTTATATTCAAAGGCCTAAACAGAGTTTTCAAACATCTGACGTTTTCAAGGACACATTTCCTGGACTGTGTTAAACATAATTGAAACGTTTGCCTCCATATTGTATTGCTCATTGTGTGGATTACACGTGTCTTTACCGCCAATGTGCAATTTTCTTATTTCTCTTGCAAGATACAAATGGGTACTCAGATTAGTTTAGTATCTTGCTGTTTGCCTAAAAAAGACGTCTTGACATCTTCTTGAGCTGTAGAGCTACGTTTGGTATTTCCACGAACGACTTGCTGCTGCTAGCATTCGCAAGCCTACCTGAGAGCAAATGCTAATATTCTATTAGAGTCTAATCATGAAGTCTATAGAGATCTAGGGAGGTCCCTCGAGCACAGCGCTGCCAGATGTCAGGCCGCCAGAAAAACACCTCGCCTGCCAACGTGCCGGGCTTCATTTAAATCTACAGTCGATGGTTCTCGTTCTTCTGCCGACATAGGCAGCCCTTTGAAGACTGACTCAGTTCACTGTTAGGCCGTATGAAAAAGAAAAAGAGAGAGAGAGAGAGAGACGGGAGTGTCATCTCAGTAGCGGCGCATGTCATGGCATTCTAGGCGTACCAATTGCTTTCAGTACCACGGACAGCCGCCTGAATAGAAGATGTTTTGCCATTGATGTTTCCTGCCTATTTTCAAGGGATTTAGCAAATGATGAATGCAATTTGCATTTCGTTTTGTTCTTTTGAAAAACACGAATGTAATATAAATAGTTTCGCAAAATTGTGTTTATTATTATTATTATTATTATTATTATTATTATTATTATTTTATCAATTTTTGAACGCCTTTGAAACATGACAACATAATTCTTTTAGCTGGGAAAAACACTCGGAAAGTATTTAGTTAGGCGTAACTTTTTTTTCTGTGATTTATTTTTTATGTTTATAGATTTTTTTTTAAATGTTTTAATGTAATTAATTCACTGACTGAATAGACCCTAAAGTTCTCATCAATTCTAACCAGTTTCAAAGGAGGAAATCAGTTCTCCTAAACGAGATTATCACTTAACACGATAATATGAACGAATTATTAAATTACACATGGAATTATGAAATCAGATAATTACTAAGTAAGTAATCATTAACTGGTGCTGTTAATTACAGCCGGGCATGGAGGGCTGGACGTGGAGAGGCTGGTCGGGAATGGAAATGAATTTCGTGGACGAAATGGCCTATCCTGAGCGAGCTACCCCCTAATTAACTTTCAGATAGGTGCGAAAATTATCGATCGATTTTTTTTTAACGCAAGCATTCAGGGGGAACCAGAGAGGTAGACTAAAATATAGGAGCATTTTGTACACACACTGGTGCGCTTAATTAATGAAGCCAGGGACTGTCTTGCTCCGCCTGGGGACCTACGAATAGAATATTTTAACTGTACATTTACCCCAAGTGTCTGCCATCAAAGCACGTTAAGACAAACCACAGGCCTCTGACGTGTTGGAACCCCTTATTTAGTACTTGAACATGTATTGTATTGTCACTGATGTCCACTGTATTTAGATTTGTTCCCCTCCACAGGCATTATTTTTATAAT